TTGTTCTGTTGGGGGTGTGCCTTTCTTTTGGAAGTTCCTGAGTCAAGGATACAAAGACAATGAGATAGAAATTACCACAAGGGTGGAGAAAAAGGGTTGGCTTGATTTGTACATTTGTACTCAGTTTTCTAAATGTTATGTTTGGGAGACTAGTCTATGTTTAATATTTTGTACCCATTAAATAGACCTCTTTTGAAGAACCCTATATAGATAAACATTAGAAGTATAAGATACTGGACAGAAAGGAAGCCCTCCATAGATACGCAGCTATTGTTAACCTGCACAAGTTTCTCAGTCTCTGTTAGGAGAGAAGGGGAGGTGAACTGCCTTTGCTCCTTTCTCTTTACCCATGGGGCAGCTTAATCTCCTGCCTTGAAGAGAGGGGAAGAACAGCATGCTCTTTTCAGATCCCAGGCAGCAGCAAAGCATTGGGGGAAAAAAAACCCTCTGGATCCAAAGACACTGTAGTCAAACCAAGTTCCCCAAGCATAAAAGCAATTATAGAAAAAAAAATTATTATATGTTTCTTTTGAATTTTAAATACATAGAAGGAAATACCTGGGGGACAAAATATAAATGTAGCAACAAAATCTTTTAAACTATGCTGAAATGTCAGAAATGTTAAAACCATCTGACAAAAAAAAATTGAAAGCAGTAATTGTAAAAAATGTTTCAACAGTAATTATGAGTATATTTGAAATCAGTGAAAAATAGAAAATTTCAGCAGAGAAATAGGAAATAAAAAGGCCAAATGGAAATATTAGACCTGAAAAATATAATCACTGAAAAAATTTTAAACTCAGAGGATGAATCTTAAAAGCAGAATGAAGAGACAAATAAAATGATCAATAAACTGGAAAACAGAATAATAAAAATTACTCTGTCTGGACAACAGCAACAAAATAGATGAAAAAGAAAAACAGATTTGGGGACTTGTAGAGCGGTCTTAATAAATCGAATATTTATACGATTTGAGTTATTGTTACAGAAGAGAAACAGGCCAAGGCTGAAAATATACTGGATGAAATTTTGGCTGAAAAGTTTCCAAATTTGCAAATCATCAAAAGAGATTGCAAATGCATGCACACACACACACACACACACACACACACACACAACACAAAATCCTAGACAGGCGAAAACCAAAGAAATCCACACCAAGAAAACTAAAGACAAAGAAAATCTTAAGATCAATGAGTGCAAAATAACAACTTACAGAATTAAAGTGATTTCTCATTAGAAACCACAAAGGTCAGAAGGAAGTGTTCCAATATTTTTCAAGGGCTGAAAAATGTCAGCTGTTTACCCAGAATCCAGGAGCCAGTGAAGATTTTTTGAGGAGTAAAGTAAAAAATCAAGACATGCTCAGAAGGAGGAGAGCTGAGATCATCACCAGACCTACTCTAAAAAGAAAGGAAATGATAAAAAAGGAACTTTAAAACACCTGGAAGGAAAGAATACAATAATAAAAATATTGGTAAATATCCTTTTCCTCTTAAGACTCTAAATTACATGTGATGATGGAAGCAAAAATTTTAACAGTGTCTAATGTAGTTCTAAATCTATGTAGAAGTATTTAAAAATTATATTATGAATAGAGGATAGTAAATGAACAAAAAGAGGGGTAAGGATTTCTGTACTTCAAACTGTTAAAATAATAACAGTGAAAGACTGAGATAGATCGTTGATCCATGGATATTTTAATCACTAAGCTATGCAAAAAGATACATTTTAAAAACTAAAGATAATTTAAAAGGGGATCCTAAGAATTTTCAAGCAATGTACATAGTCAAAAATATTAAACAAGTAAAAACAGAATAATTGGAAAAGAAATAAATAACAGGAAATAAAATAAAATGGGATACTTGGACCCTAATATGTTAATAAATGCATTAAATATAAAGAGTTTAAATAGCTTTGAAATTAAAGTGTAGATTGACAGAGTAGATTTTTAAAAATAACCCAATTATATAAGGTCTATAAGTGACTTCAAATTTAACAATATAGGTGGTTAAAAGTAAAATGATGGGAAAAGCATATCATGCAAATGTTAATAAAGGAAAATAGGAATACCCTATTAATGTCAGGCAAAGTAGACTTCATGTCAGAGAAACTCACCAGAGACAAACATTATTTACTGATGAAAGGGTCCATCCACCAAGAAGACATAGCATCACAAAATGTATGTACCCCAGACAAGAAATCTGCAAAATATGTGAAACAAAAACTGATACAGCTAAAAGGATAAACTGATAAATTCTCCCAGTTTGTTGTTGTTGTTGTTTTGTTTTGTTTTGTTGTTGTTTTGGAAACCAGGGACACTCTACTGGTGAACTATATCCCCCACCATTTTTATTTATTTATTTATTTATTTTTAAAATTTTAAGACAGGGTTTTGCTAAGTTGCTTAGGGCCTAAGTGCTGAGACAGGCCTCAAATTTGCTATCCTTCTGCCTGCCTCAGACTCCCAAATTTCTGGGATTACAGGCATGTGCCACCATGCCTGGCTAAATCCACAGTTATAATTGGAGAGTTAAAACACCTCTTTTTTAATACTTTACAGAACAGCTAGACAGAAAATCAGAAAAAAAAATACCTGAGAACTCAACAATACAATCAACCAACAGGATCTAATTGGCATCTATAGAAACAACCTCCCAACAACACAAAATACACATTCTTTTCAACTGGCCCCAGAACATATAACAAGACAAACCACCTCTTGGGCCATAAAACCACCTCAGTAAAAGAATTTAATTCAGACAGAGTAAGTTGTACCATAAAGGAATCAACCTAGAAAACAATAATAAAAAGATAACATGAAAATCTTTGAACACTTGGAAACAAAACAACACAATTCCAAGTCATCCATGGGCCAATTGTGAGCTCTGAAGGGAAGTAAAAAAGAATATATTGAACTGAATGAATATGATAATACAACATATTAAAATTTGTGGAAAGCAGTTAAAGCAGTACTGAGAGGGAAAGGCATGTCACTATTGCATCTGTCACAAATAGAAAAAAAAACACTAGAAAAATTTAACCTCTCATTTCAAGAACATAGATAAAGAAGAACCTGAAAATCAAAACTCAATGAAATAAGAAGCTGGCTTTTTAAAAACACCAATGAAAATTTGCAAACTTCAATCAAGACAAATAAAGGGGGGAGGTAAGGAGGGAGGGAGAGGGGAGGAAGAAAGTGAGGAGAGGGAGGATATCAGGAATGAAACAGGGGATCCCTATAGACCTTTTCAACAAGTGATGATGGCACAATTGGACATCTATAAGCTGAAACATGAGCTTTGACCCAAGTCTCACATTTTATACAAAAAAAAAATTGATTGTAGAACTTAAATGTAAAATATAATGCCTTAAAACTTTCAGATATAAAATGGAAAAGAAAAATTATTGGGATATAGGACTAGGCAAAGAGTCCTTAGATTTGACACATGATCCATAAAAGGAAAAGTTGATAAAATGAAGCACCAAAATTAGAAACTTTGGCTATGCGAAAGATTTTCTTAAAAGGATAAAAAGAGTAGATGCAGAGTGAGAGAAAATATTTTCAAACCACATATATGACAAAGGACTAGTACTAGAATATATTAAAAACTTTAAAATTCAACAGTAAGCAGACAATCCAATTAGAAATAGGAAAAAGACAAGAAGAGATCTTTCCCTGATGAGGATATAGTAATGGCAAATAAGCACATAAAAGGATGCTCAGCATAATTTGTCATTAGGAGAAAAAAATTAAAACCATAATGAGATACCCTTAAACACCTATCAGAATATCTAAATTTTAAAAAATCAATTACATTAAATAATTGACAAGAATGCAGAGACATTAAATCACTTGGACATTGCTGGTGTTAATAAAGTGGTACAGTCACTCTGGAAAGAGTTTGGCAGTTTTATTTTAAATAAACATGCACTTCTGTGTGACCCAGCAATTGCACTTCTAGGCACTTATCCCAAAGAAATAAAAATTTATGTTCACACAAAAACCTGTACATGAATATTTATGACACATTTATTTTTAATAGTTAATAACTGCAAACAACCTAGATGTCCTTCAAGGGATGAATGGTATGACAAACCATTCCATACCATGAAATACTACTTAGCAACATAATGGAATAAATTATTGGTACATGCAACAACCTGAATGAATCTGCTGAGCATTAGCTAAGTAAAACAAAGCCAATTCCAATTCTGTTTATATAGCATTCTTAAAATGAGAAATTAAAAAAATGAAAATCATATTAGTAGTTAACACGAGCTAAGAATATAAATATAAATACATAAATATAAATATAAAAGTATAGCATGCATGATCTTTATGGGATAGAAACAATATGTTCTGAATCAATATCAATATCAATATGCTGGTGTATGGGCTGAGGCTGAGGCTCAGTGGTAGAATGCTTGCCTAGCACACGTGAAGCCACTGGGTTTGATCCTCAGCACCACATAAAAATAAATAAAATAAATATACTGTGTCCATCTACAACTATATATATATATATATATATATATATATATACACACACACACTGATTGTAATGATGTACCGTACCGTAGTTTTGCAAAATATAATGGGGGTGGGGGATGAATAAACTGTACTCAAGATCTTTCTATATCCTTCTTCATGATTTTGTGTGAATGAACAATGATCTCAAAATATTTTATTTTTTAAAAAGGTAAAGGCTAAAGTGGTTTTGAAGAATGAAAGAGGTCATGTGTAGAAATTATTGAGAAAAGCACTGAGTGAGAATAGGAAGACCTAGATTCAAGTCTTGATTCAACCAACTTGGGAAAATCTCATTTGTACAAACTCATTTGTCCAATGCAATTGACAAAACTAATAGTATCACCCAGAGTTGATAACAGATATAAATTACATTAATTGGAAGAAAAACTTTGAACATATAAGAACTAAGGCTTTATGTAAACATTAGGTAATATGAAAGCTTTTATTATGTACATAATGTCTCAAAGTCCATTTCTTCTGGTAGTTCAGAAAAATAATTACCTAACTAAGACTGAAAACTAATTTCATTTTCACCATTTGACATTAAATCCCTGCAATATAAGCAAAGAACACTACCAGAGAAAAGAAGAGCCCAATCTCTTTTCCTATGCTACTCCTCATTCAAAAGACCAAGGAAATCCCACATATTCCCTCTCCTGCTACAAGAGTGCTGTCAAATAACCTCATGAAATCTGTGTTGTGGAGAATGGATCACCCTCAGGTCTCACTTTCAACATTTTCTATTTTAGGACCGGTTTGGAGTGGTTGCAAAGATTTCATTGCATGGTCCTTCACATGAGAGAGAAACAATTTAGCCATTTGTAACCTAAAAAGAAAGAAAGAATAAAGTCCATGGGGTGCTGTGGGGGAAGAGAGTAGGGATCATTTACTCTATCAGAGGCATTTGGTTCTATTGGGATGCTCTTTGCAGCCATTAACTTTCAGTTATTTCAATAAACCCTAAACCAGCATTTTAAAAGAGGGCATGTCTTAAGTTTATTTAATAAGAAGTTAAATAGGCATTGGTTGACTCAGTATCCTAATGGTATTATCTAGGGCTTAGGTTCTCCCTACATTACTTATGTTTTCAACTCACATGATTGGCTTCATTTTTTTGTTGTTGTCATTATACATGACAGTAGAATCTATTTTAATATATGTGTACAAGCAAGGAATATGTCTTATTCTAATTAGGATCCCAGTCTTGTGGATATACATGATATTGAGACTCACTGTGATGTATTCATATATGTACACAGGAAAATTAGGTCAGATTCGTTCCACTGTCTTGCCTATTCTTATCCCCTCCTTCATTCCCTTTATTCTCTTTTGTCTAATCCACTGAACTTATATTCTTCCCCACACCTTGTTGTGGGTTAGCATCCACATATCAGAGAGAACATTTGACCTTTGGCTTTTTGGGATGGGCTTATTTCACTTAGCATAAGGGTCTCTAGATCCATCCTTTTACCTGCTAATGCCATAAAGTCATTCTTCTTTATTGGCTTCATTTTTAAGACTGGTTTCTTCCAGGGCACAATTGTGGATTCACACACCTCCATTCAAATCTGGGGCAGAGAAAGAGAATAGCTTATTCCAAAAAGTGAGGTAGAACTTTCCCAGAAATTTCCAACAAATGTCTCTTCACATATCGTTGGCCAGAACTGGGTCACATGATTTTTTTTTATAAACTGTTTTATCTAGATTTGCATAACTGGGACCAAAATACCTAAGAAGAGCAACATAGAGGAAGAGTAATTTATCTGGGGCTCACAGTTTCAGAGGTCTCACTCCATAGATGGCCAACTTTATTGCTCTGTTCCCAAGTCAAGGCAGGATGTCATGGCGGAAGAGCATAGCAAAGAAAAGCTGCTTTCCTTGTGGCAGCCAGGAGAGAGAGAGAGAGAGAGAGAGAGAGAGAGAGAGAGAGAGAGAGGGAGAGAGAATGAGAGAGAGAGAGAGAAGGGGGAAGGTGCCACAGATAAGATGCACCCTTCCAAGGCACAGCCCCAGTGACTCACCTGCTCCAGCCATGCCCCCCCTGCCTACAATGACCACTCAGTCCATTGAAACCAGGATTGCCTAATCAGGCTACAGCTCTCATAATCCAATCATTCTATCTCTGAACATTTCTGAGCTAACACATGAACTTTTGGGGGGCACCTCATATCCAAACCATAACATAAACCAATCATAGGTGGAGAAGTGAGATGACCCTTAGTCCAATCAGATTCATTATTGAAGTTGAGGGAATTCCTCTGAGTCCAGGGGCTAATTACTTGGACAAAACTGAGATTCTTTTAGGAAGACAAAATGAGGTAGTATTTGCTATATAGGCAGTTAGGTGCCCAGTGATACTGCTTCCTTCTTTTAATTCAGTAAATTGGGACTAAGTGACATATGTCTGAGGACTCTGACACTAAGTAGTGCAAAAACAGGGTTGGGTTTGACTTTTCTAGTTAGTTTCAAATCTTTCTTTAAGCTATGAAACTATAAGTCAAATTCTTGGGCCCTCACTTCCTTATTTCTGAAAGGGAATTAAGTTTTATAATCTTGGGAAAATTACTCATCTTTTTTGTACATCAGCTTCCTTATCTGTAAATCCTTCATCTGAGGTTTTGAATAGTTTACTTGTAAGGTGGTGTATTGGGCTTCTAGGGCTGTCATAACAAAGTACCACAGACGGTGTGTCTTGAACAACAGAAATTTCTTTTCCAGCTATTCTGGAGGCTGGAAGTCCAAAGTCAAAGTGTCAGCAATATTAATTTATTCCTAGGACCTCTCTCCTTGACTTCTAAATGGTTATCTTTTCTTTGTATCTTCACCTGATCTTTCTTCCATGTGTGTCTGTGTTCTAATCTCTTCTTATAAGCACACAGTCCTATTGGGTTAGGACTTATTCTAATGACCTCATTTTGGTCCTTTAAAGACCCTGTTTCAAAATATGTCACATTCTGAAACAGTGGACATTAGAATTTCAACATATGAATCTTGGGAGACTATAATTCAGTAATAATGGGTTGATATGAATAATAAAAATTTTAATATATGCTAAAAACTTAGATCCATACAATAGGTGCATATTTGGCATTAGCTATAAAATTATCTTCTTACTTTAAATAATAGCAGTAGAGGTGATATCAATAGTATTGGAAATAGTAGTAGCATCACTAGAAGGCTAATAGCAGAACTGCCTGAAAGAAAAGGTCAAAGGGACCTTAGTCAAGGAAAGGAGGGACATATTTTAAAGGAGGAATGAGTCACAAAGAAATAGTATTTTTATCACACTATTTCCAGTTAAAATGGCTGTGAAATGTATTATATCAAAACTTAGTGGTTTAAATAAACAACTTACTTTCTTCATGAATCTGCAGTTTTGCCAGGGCAAGCTTACTCCAGCTGTACTTGTCATCATTAGGGACAGTTCAGTGTCTCGTTTGCATGTCTCACCCCGCTGTCAGTTGGAACATCAGTTGAACACCTACATGGACCCTCTTCACATGGCTTGGGCTTCCTCACAACATGGTGGCTGGGTTCTAAATGTGTGCATTCAGAAAGATTAAGTAGAAACAGCACCTTTTACGACCTAACCTCAGAACTTACTCAAAATCACTACTGTTGCATTCTACTTGTGGAGGAATTCATAAAGATTGTCAAGATTCAAAAGAAGGGAAAACAGACTGCTCCTTTTGATGGGGAGCACCAAGGTCTGGAAGAGTCTGTTGGGCTGGAAATACTGCCATGGTCATTTTTGTAAAATACAATCCTGTGTGCATCCCTACCTCCTCACATGAAGGTCTTCCTTCTAGAGTTTTTTTTTTTTTTTTTCAAACAGTGTTGGTTTGTGATTTTGTTCTGATCAGAATTGGATCCTAATACTACACTCAATTCCCAGGGTTTGAGGATAAAATGCCACAGGTGAAAGAAAACTTTTCAGAAGAGCCTTATAAAAGAGAACTCCCTAGGCAAAGTTTCAGTGTGGATTATAGTCCTCTTCTGACCAGGCACACACCGGAAAGGGGTGATTTCCCTGATAACCTTTCCTTTTAATTACTCCAAGGAAATCATGTCTCAGCCCCCAATAGATAACTCAGATTTTCATCTGTAAAAGAAAGCCTAGAGATTAAGGAGAACCACCATCCCATTATAAGCTCTAATGTTGTATGAAAATAAGGGGCAAAAAAGGATGACTTAAGAAAATATAAAAGCAGTATCGCAGGTCCATGAGAAGGAGAAATTGAGTTGTTGCTTGCCTTATATTTGAATGCTGTGCATGATTTGCATGATGGCAATAATAATTTACTGACAAAATGCTTTTATTGAGTTGCCTTTACTGAAGAGGCTCTGCATGCTTTTTCACCAGCTTGCTACAATTAAAAGCAGCAGTAAATAGAGTCTTTCTATTTAGATTGAAAAGCAACAATTAAGCTTGCCCGTCTATAAATAGGAGGCAGTTTCACATCTATGGCCCAACTGCACACATTAAAGACTTTAGCTCCAAATGCCCCCAATTTATTTCTGCAGGACAAACCAATAAATTGTCAAACTCTGACCTTAAAACTGACAATTGCATAGAAAATGAAAGAAGGTAAATTATGCATAATTTTAAATAATTACTGGGATGTCTGTTAGGCCAGAAAATCAGTATACTCACTGGAAATCTAAATTTACAAGCTTCTAGTTTTTTTCTTTTTATTTCATTTCACCATTAACAAACTCTAGTTTGCCTTGAGTATCTGTCAGAGATGACTCTCCTTTGCCTGAGACACATGGATAAAAATTATGGATTTTAGAATTAGGGTAGGGAAGATGGAAAATATAAAGGTCTTTCTCAAGATTCCTATAATTTAAGTGATTCAGCAAAGAGACCAGGATATGGGCAGTCATCATCAAATATTCTTGAATAAATTTTTAAAACTGCAAATCATTTGTCCCATCTATAATACATAGATTGAGTTTTCAGTGTTGATTCAAACTCCTCATCTTCTGCTAGAGGAAACTGGGGGCTCAGGAAACCACATGAATTGTCCAGGATCACAGAATATGACTATGGCAGAGCTAGAACTCAATAGATTCCTTCATCGCCACTCCATCATCCACTCAATGCCCATTTTTCATGATTTTCAATAAAAAAAAATTATCTCAATAAGACATAAAGTCCAAATGGCAAATATTTCTTTGAATGCAAGATGAATTTTCAAAGATGACAGGGTTTCCCACTTGGAAATAGTGGGCTACCTCTTCTTCTATATCTCCTGTCTGGAACAATAATTTCTAATTTCCAACAGCAAAAAAAAAAATTGAGTTTCTAAAATATGTGCTAAGTAATCACATCTTTTTGAGATTTATGAGTCTTGTTTGTTTTGTGTTTGCATATGCCCTGTGTCTTCCAGTGATTTTCCATCTGATTGCAACTCCCCTTGGGTCATGTGCTGCATATGTTCTGTTGCCTCCCCTCATCCTCTCCACTCTACTCTGTGCCCAAGAGATTGGCATGTATGAACTCATCAATGGATCCATGCTCTCTGGCTTCAATTTCAGCTTTGCTGTTGGAAACACCAATAGAAGACTGAGTAGAAAAAGAACAAAGAAGCCAGGGGTTTTATCCACTATTTCACTTCCTGCAGAGTAAAGCAAAATTTACAAACTGAGCCCAGTACAGATTAAACCAACTCCAGAAACTACTAATGAGAATTAATGACTGTTATATAAAACTCATTTTTCAGGGGTGGCTTTTTATATAGCAGCATCTGACTAATACAACATATGATACCAAAAAGGAATAATTTGTACAACAGAGTCATCCTAAAATGGAGATAAATACCTCTGAAGACTGGAAATAGATGAGACTCCAGAGGAATAACTGGGATTGAGTTTGCATACTCAATTCTAGATCTAGAAGCTAATGGAGATAGCTGGGTTCCTATAACAAAAATACAAGTATTCCATGGGATGTAAGAGATTCACTTTCAAACTTGTTTAAAACCAGAAGCAAGTTTGAAGTTTTCTCATCTGTGAAAGATGACTGAAATAATCTGTTAAAGCCACTGTCTGAACTGAATCATTTATACAAAACTAAATAGCAGTGAAGCTAAGCACGTGAGCTACCAATGTAAGACCTGGTTTTTCACTGGATGTTCTTAAGTAGTGGAAGAAGAGATTTAAATAGAAATCTGCAAGCCTGAGATACAGATAGCAAGAGACTCCATTTGATACTAAATTTCTAAAACACATGAAGAAATAATGCTAAGAAAGAGAGCTACATTGGTAATTAATTCACTCTTGAATGGAATGAAAATAATAAAGGAGATATTCTGCAGAGAATGTCACTAAAATAACTACCAAGAATGTATCTTGGCCTGGAGCTACAGCTCAGTGGCAGAGCGCTTGCCTAGCATGTATGAAACACTGGGTTCAATCCTTAGCACTACACAAAAATAAACAAATAAAATAAAGGTATGCTGTCCATGCAAAACTACAAAATTTTTGAAAAAAGAATATATCTCATGAAGAAGAAAAAATATCCTGAGAACAATAGAGGGATAAGATGGAAGAAATAAATAATAATTTGTCGAGAATTTGGTACAATATGTTAAGTTTAATTTATTGTTAACTTTTTAAAAAAGAATGGTATTTTTCTTATAATTAAATAGAATTCAAATATCAAGGAAAATATAGATGGCAAAGATGTTCAATGAATGGCTAATGCATGCTAGGTTCCTGAGTTACTTGGGAAGAAAGCAAAGATACTATACAACTTAAATATTGTTAATAATTTTTATAGTTAAGGTGATTGTGGTGCCACATGCTTATAATCCCAGATACTTGGGAGATTGAGGCAGGAAGATTGCAATCTGAGGCATCTTAGTGAGATCCTGTCCCAAAAAATGTGGTTTTCAATGGATACACCTAAAGTAATAGTCTAGAAAGGTTGGAAAGACAGAAATGGGTGGGGAGGAAAGGAAGGCAATTGCTAACCAAAAAAAAAAAAAGCTGATATGGCAATATTAATGCCAAATGATATTGGCCAAAAGGCATAAGAAGAGACGTTGCATAATGATAAAGGACACAGCCTTGCATTTGAATGATCAACACTATGGGCTTGAAATATAAAGGGAAAAAAACTGATGAAAATATAATACAGAATTGAAAACAATACCATCCTATATACCTGTATTAAAGAACAATAGAACCAGCAAAAAAATGTCCATTTTGATTTTAAAAATTCAAAAATAATAAATCCATTTTACAAATGTAGGAACTCAGACCCCAGGAGGTAGAGTGGCTTCATCAAAGGCCACAAAGTTTGTATAAATCAGCCAGGACTAAATCTCACCTTCTAATGCTACATTCTGAGCCATCCCCATTTAATGACATTAACAGATAGAATAAACTATCTACATAAACATAAAGCCTTTTCCAGGTCTTTCAAATAATCCTAAGTGTGGTGGTATAACTTTTATCTTTCAATGTGCTTTACCTTGCCTTCAAAGTATTTTACTTCTAATTATCCATCTCTATAACTATCTAGGGAGGACCCCCTCAAGCCACTGGGGTAGCTACTCAGAAACACAAGTGGAGCTATTGGGAGGTAGGGGAATCCTCATGAGGTGGGGCCCAGTGAAGTAAATGAGGCCATGGGGGGAAGGTGCCCTTAAATGAGGATAGTGGGATCCTGGCATCTCTCTCTCTCTCTCTCTCTCTCTCTCTCTCTCTCTCTCTCTCTCTCTCTCCTTCCTGGCTGCCATGAGCTGAGAATCTTTGCTCTGTCTCACCACAGGCCCAAAGCCACAGGGCTACATGACTACGGACTAAACCCTCTGAAACCATGAGCCATGGTATCCTCTTTTGAAGTTGATTTTCTCAGCTATTTCATCATAGCCATGGAAATTTGATGAATACAGTCCTCAAGGATGGCCCTTTTCCAATGACTGGTGTGGAAAATTCGAAGTCCAGCTCCTTCGCCTTGGATTTGGGATAAAATCTAAGGTGTAATTTATACTCCCAAGCTCCCCTGCAGGGATCAGGCCGAGGCTGGAACTCTGCGTGGCTTCTTCTCTTTCCTGCATTCCATGCCCAGTTTTTCCTGAGATAACTTCCTCAGTAAGTCCAGTTGCACATGAACTCTCATCTCCAGGTCTTTTTCTGGGAAACAGTTCCTAATATAAGAACCACACATCTCTGAACTAGAAGTACAGACAGATTACGAAGTGCTGCTGGAGAAAGAATCCTTGAAGTCTAAATATTTCTGCTGCTGCTCTTATCTTTGGAAGTTCTAGTTTTATTGGACACTGGGAACCTGGCATTGTGAATGTAATGTCTGCCAAGCAAGTTGAGGGGAAAACTCTCCTACAACTGCAGACTTTAGGTCAATAATATTGACTGGCCAACTTTCTGTCCTCAATAGACCCTCTTGAGTCCAATTCTGAATTCATATTGACTCAATCTGGAGGATTTTTAGCTTACAGCTCACTGCTGCATGTTCTTGGCCTCTCTTCTCCCTCTCTCCCTCATTGGGATGCAGAGGTTTAATTCC